CCAACAATTGGCCTGACGAATCTAGTAGCGTCTGAAACTCGAGCCATTCACCATCAAATAAAGGCAACTGGAAATACACAAATTGTGACCAGTCAATTCACGAACACGGTGAAACGGAAAGTTTACGAACCACGAGCAGCAAGTTACACCAACGAAAACTTTACAAGCAAGAACATGCAATGAATCAACGGCATATACAATCAGGGTCCTGTTCGAGCAGAACAGAGTTTGAAATCCCGGCTGAGCCCCCAATGTGATTTAAGTTGGTCCCTTTGTATAGCCTACATTGCATCCTGATTATTTATCTGTTGTCTAGGGGATTATATTCTTCAATCTTTTACTCTATGTGCTGTCTAGGGGTATTACTGATGAAAACGCGATCGATATGTGTGTGTTTCTGGTTCCTTTCCCTCCTTCGTTCCCAACACCATCCACCATACAGACGTGAACATGAGTTAAAAGTAGATATATTGAAATGAGCCAAAAGATGAGGTCGAAACCAAAATGTCAAAAGGAAGCGATCGAGTCATTAAACGAGACAAGGCCGAAAATCAGTCCTGCACGAATAGCCGTTGCATTAGCACAGGCTGATATCGAAGAAGACGGAAGAGTGTCGAAAGAAGACCGAAAATCAGTCCCACTCGAGTTGCTATCGCACTCGAGTGTGCCGATATTGGAGAGGCCGGAAGAGTGCCGAAAGAACAGCCTGCTGCCGCCAAGCCGAGCCAATCGGCTCCCTGGTCAGCGTCATGATGGCGGGCAGGCTGAAACACAAACAGCGCAGTGAGACCGGACAACGGCGGTCAACGGTCACCAAAAAAAGGCCGAAAGAGATAACCGAATGGTTAGCCGAAAGACAAAACAAACAGTTCAACCATATACCGAATAGTTCGGCAAGTTAAACGGACTTCCTAGAAGACGTCACGTCACCTTGTCCCCACAGCACAGCTCCAAGAGAGCTGGCTGGGGCAGACCGTCCGGTCTGAGTCATTCTTACGTAGGTACTTACTTGTGCATGTTGAGTGGAGTGTTGCAGAGTGGGTGTTGTCGAACGTGGTGTGGACTGTGTGAGGAGTGTCTCGCTGCTCCGTCTCGCGCCCGTTTTATTCCTCGCTGGTCACACAAAAACAGGTAAAGCCACTGCAGTCGGTAGTTGCCCTGCAGCGTAGGTGCAGCTCAGCTCTTCTCTGCCGATCTGCAGACAGTCGCTAGCCCGGCCTTGCCGATTCCACTTTTTGTCCGGTGGTACCGGTGCTCGGTCTCCGGCGGCCGTCATCGTATGGTGGCCGGTGGGAGGCGGCGCTGGCCCGCCAACAGAACAACAGTCAGCCGTGGCTGTCCAGCTTCCACTGTTCGGATAGAAGCCACTGGTCGGATAGAAAATACTCACCAAAACTATTTCTCACAGTACAGCAGTCCGTCCTGTGTGAAAAGTTCGTCATGAAAGCCATGATACGGCCGGAGTGCGTCTGGCAACTGGCGCCGATGCTTCGGCCACCCTGCCAGTACCTGTTTGACGACCCGTGGGAGGACCAGATCCGACTGATACGCGGCCCGTATGGCTTCTAGACGCTCTGGAGACACCGCGATCCCACTGGACAACTCTAGGGATTCGGTCTCCATTGCGAACAGTGAGGATGGTTGCTGAGTTGGAGCACGACTAAGCGCATCAGCAACAGGAATCTCTGATCCTGGTCGGTACACAATGTGAAAGTTGTACCTCTGCAGTGTGAGAAGCATTCTCTGCAAGCGAAGTGGTGCGTCACTGAGTGGTTTGTTGTGTATCGCGACCAATGGCTTATGGTCAGTCTCGACTGTCACTGGCCTACCGTACAGATATTGGTCCAGGCGAGTGAGCGCAAAAGTAATGGCCAATAGCTCCTTCTCAATTTGCGAGTAGGCTCGCTCCGCTACCGTAAGGGAGCGCGAGCAGTACATGACTGGGTTTCCCCGCTGCAGAAGGACAGCGCCGAGGCCATGGCTCGATGCATCGCACTGCACTGTAGCCTCGTCATGTGGGTCATAGTATTTGAGCACTGGCGCTGTTGTAAGCAGCTGCTGAATGGTTTTGAATGCTGTCTCACACTGGGGGCTCCAGTACCAGTCGAAGCTGGCCTGTGTGAGCTGACGGAGAGGTGATACAGTCTGTGACAGGTTGGGGATGTAGCGGGCCAAAAAACTGACCATCCCCAGGAAGCGTTTGAGACTGGGCACATCCGTGGGGGGCGGATAGTCACGCACCGCAGACACTTTAGCTGGGTCTGGTTTCAAGCCGTCAGCCGACAGGACGTGACCCATCCATTTCAGTTCTGTCACTTTGTACCTGAATTTATCCGGGTTCAGACGAAGGTTCCTCTCACGTGCCCTGGCTAGAAATGCCGCCAGATTGCGGTCATGATCCTGTTCGGCCTGCGCACGCGTGTTGCCGCGACCAAAAACTACAAAATCATCAGCTATGACCTCCACACCCTCAAGACCCCTGATGAGCTCATGCATCATTCTCTGCCAAATTTCGGAGCTGCACTTCACGCCATATGGCAGCCTGTTCCAGATATAGCGTCCAAATGGCGTGTGGAAGCAGCACAGGCGCGCCGACCTCGCTGATAGCCCAATCTGCCAAAATGCACAGGATGCATCCACGAGACTGAATACTTTGGCTCCCGTGAGCCGGGCGGTTACCTCGTCCACAGTGGGTGTGGGATAGTGTTCTCTCCTCACAGCTCGATTTAGGAAACGGGGGTCTATGCATAGGCGAATATCCCCGTTCGGTTTATCCACTATCACAGGATTTGAGACCCAGTCAGTTGGCTCAGTGATGTGAGAAATGACGCCTAGCGTCTCGAGATCGTCCAGTTTTTTCTTAAGTTTCTCACGCACGTGCACCCTCACTCTGCGGGGAGCTTCCACTACCGGGATAGCGGACGGATCTGTCACAATTTCATAGTTGTCCGCCACTAGTCCCACGCTACTTTTGTCAAACACGTCATGATACTCAGCTTTGATGCGCGACTGACCGTCACTCACACACCCCGACCGCGGTGGCCCGGGCGAGGGACGAGCTCCGGGAGGGCCATGACCCGGTTCGGTAGCGAGGTCACCCCCTGGGGTCACGGCCGGCGGGGGCGGGGCAGGGACATAGTCCAGTGGGTCACAGTCGCGGACGTCAATCAGGCCCAGCTGGACTGACGTGTTCAGGCTCAGTATGGAAGAGATAGCACTGTTCACAACTTTACACTGAAGGATGTGCCTACTCCGAGACACGGGATTAGTAAAGCACAGGGACCGTTTCCCCTCACATGACACGAGAGCGCCGTCATACATGCGCAGAACGGTATGGCACGGTCTCAAACATGCGCCCTGTGGATCGTCGGTGATACGCACGTAGTCTGTCCATGTCAACACGTCACACTCGGAGCCGGAATCTATCAGAAACGTTACCGATTTTCCCGAGGCGGTCAAAGTTTTGTGTGCTTTTGTGGGTGTCTCACCGGAATGGCCAGCTGTCGACAAAACGTCCCAGTGCTCATGTTGATGTGCACCTGACGCGCCGGGAGGCGGGTCGCGGCGCTGGCCGGCTGGCGGAGTCGCAGTCAGCTGATCGCGGCCGGCGGCGGCGGCGCCGGCGGCGCCCACGGTGGCGGCGAGAGACAGCGGCCGGGCCGCTGGCTGGCGAACTGGTCCGCGCCCGCCAGAGCCGGGCGGGGGACGCCGGGAGCCGCAGATAGTACTGCATGCGAAATGGTTGGCCTGCCCGCAGGCGAGGCAGGCTTTGCCCCATGCAGGGCAGCGAGACCGAACCATTGGGTGATCACGGCCGCAGAACTTGCACTTGCGGGTCGGTTGGGACCGGTTGTGTCCAGAGACGGCGGCCATGTTGTCTGTTTGCTCACTGTGGGGCTCAGTTCCAAACACCTTGAGATCACGATTGGCGGCTTCTTCGGATAGCGCTATGTCGATTGCCATCTGAAGGGTCAAATCAGCTCGCTTCAGCAGCGCTGCTTGTATTTTCTGGTCACGGAGGCCGATGCATATTCTGTCTCTTAGCATGTTGTCCCCGTCTGGGAAATCACACGTTGCTGCCAGAGATCGAAGGGCCGATAGATATTGGCTGACCGACTCGTCTGGCTTCTGACCGCGAGTGTAGAAATTGTACCGTTCACGGACAACATTCTGGCGGGGCACACAGAACGCCTCGAAGCGTGACACTAGCTCATCCAACCCTTGTTCTGCAGACCACCCAGAGAAATGAGAGGCGACTTCTTGTGCTTCACCACCTGCACAGTTGAGAAAAACGGCCACTTGGACGGCCTGGGGCTTGCCAGCGAGTTCGACAGCCACAGCGTAATTCTCCCATTCACGCCGCCAGGTCCGCCATCTTGTTGCTAATTGCGGTGATGAAATCTCGAGCTCTGCCGGTGGGCGAAGATTCGACAGCATCGTCGGCACCTTTGTGTTACGTTAACTTCTGACACCATGTAACGTTCTTAAGATATCAGATAACGTAAGACGATGATATGTATTCAGTAATGTCAGATATTATACAGCACTGACCAACCCTAGCTCGGGTGTCCAACTCTTCAACCCTCCGGCTGCCGCGCCCTCACTTGCCGTCAACCACGAGTTCGCTTTTCTGCCGTTAGATGACAGCACGTCTCAGGACACTACAAATTACAATACGCCACACAGGGGTGGAAAACATGCGTTCCATTCACAAAATCAGTCCCAACGATTCCCTTCATTCCCTTCAATCCTAAAAGTTTCTCCCTACTATTGGTAAAGTAATCCTGCTGCCTACCTCCATTTTGCTAGTCTATTCAACGGTGCGAGCGCGAGCTGCGAACATCTTAAGTTTCCATGGTTACTGGTTCGGCATGCATTCGAGCGCGCTGAAAAAATATTTGATTACACGACGTCACAAATGAGTAAAAGGATATTGAACAGGTGGTATTGTGAAAAAAACGAGTTGAAGACGTGTGTTTCATTGGCATGAGTGGTTCTTTATTATCCTTTAGGGGGTGCTGAAAGGGCTAGGGCTTGGCTGGTGTGCTGCAAATTAGTATTACGGCTTTGATAATTATGGTTATCGCTTATGGACCCTAAAATACAAGGTTTCATGCCCCAGGACCCAGAGCTCTCAGCTCCTCAAGCCTCAGATACTCTATTTCTTTTCATAAATAAATGGCCAGGGCCCTGTTTCACCATCCCTATGCTACGTGAGCTGCAGGCTGAGGCTGCAGCGCGCTAGGAGCTATGGCATACCATATAGTCACTTGAAAGTTTAATGACGTTGCGTGTGATTCGCTAGCTTATAATAAATCTTGTTTGGAACAGAGGTCCAAAAGATCCAAGTAGGGCCAAGAACAGAGGTTTGAAGTCAAATACTGTAAGCATTCTGTTCTGCTGGCACTGCAGCGCTGTGGTGCGCTAGCTCTTCGCAGTGACGTCATAGCATAGCATCAGTGAAGTTTGTTGATATGGCCATGAAAATGTAACGCACTGACATGCGCAGCCACTGCAGCCCTGCCGTGAAACACTGCCCAGGACCAGGTTGCTAGCAAATGCAAGTGGCATGGGAGTTGTGACTGTATCTGATGCATGAGATTTGTGCCAGGTTGATATTTGTCTTAGGTCAGTAATACCACCCTAAGTCAAAGGAATGAAATGGACTGCTTCCGGGCATACTTGGGGTAGTCCTTAGTCCAGCTTCATTTTTTAAATGTAGGTACCTACCTATGTCACTCATGAGTCATGACTCATGTGAAAGCCGTCATGGAATCAAACGCACCAGACTTCTTTGTTGTTAGAAGATGTTCAATAATTACTAAACCCCAGAAACTGGCTCATGGCTGAGCTGAAGGACAACCTTGCTGAGGAAATAAAACCAAAGTGCTAAGTGCTTGAAGCTAGGACACCATATATAAATGCTATTTTTATAATTTATCAGCATGATGTATTTACCTTAAGTATTTACCTTAAGTAAATGTCATTGGGTACCCTTTCGAGTAATCAGACCCTTTACTCAAGAGATGCCTCCTCTTCTTCTGACAAAGATGAGTAGGCTGCCATGCTAGGTGAGGCCATACATTGATGGCCACGATGATCATTAGTATGAGAACTTGTAGTTGAACTTTTCAGGGTGGTCCTTCCATTCCTTCCCCAGTCTGATGTGAATAAATTTATGTGCTGCATCCACCTAGCCCATTGCTATATAATTTTATGGAAGGTAAATGATGTTCAATGAGTATGCTGATGTATGTATTTCTACTTTTTGTAGCTTTTAAATCAAATATATTACAAATTATGAACAATTGCTAATTCTCTGTACATATTTTTCACTGTGCATGGCCCTGATAGTGCAGAGTTTTGTGCTAAGACCATCCATGGTTTTGCATGGATTCTGTATGGAGCAAATTTTGCATGTGGGCCAAACTCTACTGCCTTGGGCCAAGCCATAATGATATGGTGATATTGGCTATTTTTGGAAGAGAAACTAATACCTACATGCTGTGAAATATACAGAGTGCAGTGTGCATGGATTAAATAATTATTTGGTGCTGTAATTACTATACTTATAATAGTAATTAATACAAAATACAAGTAATTAATACAATAATTACTTGCTGTGCTGATTTTGTGAATGATTTTGCCCTTAGATGAATATTTCAATTCTTCATTTCAGGTTGTAGTTCAAGGTATTGATCAGACTTCACACTGTCTTGTGATCTATTCAGCCCATAGTTTCAATCATCATTATCAAGAGGAAGGACAATGTCAGCAGACGCTCATACAGAAGAAATAACTCAACTGATTAAGAATATTTTAAATAAAGAAACCAGAGAGGCAGCTCTGAAGCAACTTAGCAAGAAGAGAGAGGTAATGTATCTTAACTACCTACTTTATTTGCTTTGATTGAAATGTTTTTTTACAACTTTTTTAATATATGTTGTAACACACAACATTTTTTAATATATGTTGTGTGTTAAGTATCCATATCATTTTATGAGGTTTGAAGTACTATTAAAACTGATAACACTATTTGTGCATTTATAGCCACCTAAGGTGATGTCCACTGGGTCCATGGCGGTGTGGACCTCTCTCTCCTCTCCTCTCTCCTCTCTCCTCTCTCTCTCTCTCTCTCTCTCTCTCTCTCTCTCTCTCTCTCTCTCTCTCTCTCCACTCTTGACCTAATCTCGCCTCGCCTTACCACATGGCTCCCCGCCTCGCCTGCGCCACCACCTCGCCTGCGCCACCACCTCGCCTTACACTAGGCCACACGAAAACCAAATTTGTGCACAGTGCATCGTGCAGTTTATATTGGTCACGTCATTATTTTCGGTGTTTCGTGCACCTATTGTCCCATCTCATCTATGATCTGTCTCAGACGGTGTCGGACCTGGCGCCGATGCTGTGGCACTCGGGCGGCACCATCACCGCCCTGCTGCACGAGATCGTCAGCATCTACGGCCTCATTCACCCGCCGACGCTCACCGCCATGGACAGCAACCGTGTGTGCAACTCGCTGGCGCTGCTGCAGTGCGTCGCCTCCCACCCCGAGACACGATCGCCCTTCCTCTCGGTAAGTCTGCAAAGAGCTGCTCGTGATGGGTTTTGTTAGATTTTGCGTTGCCTGATCATGTTATTCGATGCTTTTAGAATTTGTGACGTTTTGCGAAAAAATATGTGTGTCTTTTTTGGTGTCTCCTAAGTGTGAAGTGACGTGACTAGTCCGTAAATTGTGACTTGTCTGACATTCAACGAGTACAAAGTGCGGTTTACCTAACTCGACTAGTTTTTTCTCATCTCATTCACACGTGTTGGGTCTTTCAATGCCACGCCGCCTGCCTGTTTCTCGACTCTATACCCATATGTTCCCACATTCGGTGCTTTTATCCTGTACCGCTCGTGACCGTGTTTTATTGTCCCTGCAGGCGCAGATTCCTCAGTACCTGTACCCGTTCCTCAGCACCAGCAGCACGGCCCAGCCATTCGAGTTCCTGCGGCTTACGAGCCTCGGGGTAATCGGCGCGCTGGTCAAGGTAAGGGACGCTAAAAAACATTTGCGGATGGACGTTTTAGATGTTCAGGCCTTATGTAAACTTGTTTCGCGTTAGGTATTGTACGTGATTACCACATATAACTCCGTAATGGAATACAGCTGTTCAGCTAAATGTGGATCGATCTATGTTTCAGCATGCTTACGAATTACTTACTCCGTGATAGTGCTAGGCTATCGTGCATGGTATGCGTTGATATGGCGACAATCTCACATTACAAACTTCAAAATTGTATTGCTATTGCTGGTTTCGTTTTATGGTTAACTGAGATTGACGAATTCTAACCGGGTGTCTTGCGTTTCCAGACGGATGAACGCGAAGTGATCGACTTCCTGCTGACCACGGAGATCATCCCTCTGTGCCTGCAAATCATGCAGCACGGCACGGAGCTCAGCAAGACTGTGGCCACCTTCATCCTGCAAAAGATTCTCAGCGATGACACTGGTAAGTAGTAAGATTCTCTGAAGTGTGTATCACTCCACCTTAAACGGGAATACTGCTAGCGGAGATAGCGTGCTAATTTGTTGAACGGTTTGGCTTTTTAGGTCTAACCTAAATGACCGGAGAAATCATCACATTAACTTGTTGTACCTCTGCTTTTAGGACTGTCGCACGTCTGTCAGACATACGAACGGTTCTCCCACGTGGCTCGCACTCTGGGCAATATGGTCATCAACCTGGAGAAGGAGAAGTCGGCGCGCCTGCTGAAGCACGTCATCCGCTGTTACCTGCGCCTCTCAGACAACCCGAGGTGAGAGTCGGATCCAGTCGGCTGCAGCGGCTCTCGGCCAGTCAATTCTTATCTCCGATCTCGGGTATTTCGGCTAACGTATCTGGCTCATTCGAAGCCGGTAACTGTCTATAAACGAACAAAATTACGGGAACGTCACTCTTCATTATTTAGTAATTTCCAGAGGTACGTCTTTGGTAGCGTTTGGGTGATCGTCTTTGGCCTTGCCTGAATTCGCTTTCAAGTTTGTGCTTTTTATCTGGATAATTTCGCAGTTGCTGGTATTATTAAAGGGACCCTCCCACCTTAACATTAGATTTGAGTTGAGATAGCCAAAATGAGGTCCCTGGCTCACAATTACCGGTTTCGGCACTCACAACATCGAGAAATGCCTTAAATCGGAAATATTGAATTTCAAAATTGCAGCATTTTGATTCAGAGGGGCTAATGCATAGGAATACCCCTCTGAATGTGTGACGTCAGCGCAGATATCTAACGATTTTTAAATGTTTGACTAAAACGTTTTGTGGCACGCGGTGGTATATGCTGCTTTGCGCGCAACAAGTGCCGCACTTTCAGCTGCCAAACTATTGTTTCCAAATGAAGTCGCTAGGAACAGCGGAGATCCCAAAAAGTAAACAAAAGTAAAAGTCTAATATCTTGAAAACCGGTGAATATTTTTCGGTGAAATTTGGTACACACAGAAAAATATTGACACCGTTAGCGGTGTAATTGCACAGTACATATCTGAGCACTTGAGGAAAGTTAATTTAGTCCCTTCCCCGCTTAAATTACTCGCGCTTCCAAATGAACACCTGGAAGAAGGTAATAGAACACTGTTAGGAGGGTTGGGTGTTTTACTACATGTAGCAAAACACCCAACCCTCCTAACAGTGTTCTATTACCTTCTTCCTGGTGTTCATTTGGAAGCGCGAGTAATTTAAGCGGGGAAGGGACTAAATTAACTTTCCTCAAGTGCTCAGATATGTACTGTGCAATTACACCGCTAACGGTGTTAATATTTTTCTGTGTGTAGATATTCGTTTTCGCTCTTTCTGAACCGAGCGACATCACTTTCATGCCAATTCATAAACTTTTTTGAAGGTAGGAGGGTCCCTTTAAAACAATGCGTTCAATCATTATATTATATTTCTGTACCCATTAGTCGACCTCTGTGTACAGAGGTCTATGCTATACCGTGTAGCGATTGAGTAGAATTTCATATCAGGAAGTCACTGCTGACACATCAAATATGTGTTCACGGTCTTTACTCGCTGTTGTGAGTCGCGTCCTACCTGCCAGCTGTGTCACCATTCCCTCACTTGTCGCTGCAGAGCCCGTGAGGCGCTGCGCTCGGTCCTGCCGGACCAGCTGAAGGGCGACACGTTCGACGGCTGTCTGGAGGACAGCTCGGTCCGCAACTGGCTCACCCTGCTGCGCAAGGCGCTCGACGAACCGGTCGGTCCCGATCAGGGCATGGCCGCCGCCGCTGCTCTCCACTGAGGCGGGTCACTCTCCTCAGAAGGCACTCTGCGGTGACGGTCAGTCCGTTCAACGTGCGCTGCGGCATCTTCTGTGCTCCATTAGAACTGGGTACAGTGTCCGCAAGTGTGCCAGGCCGATGGCTCCACGCAGCTTCTCCGCCTTAGCCGATGCCTGATGGAAGACGTAGTTTGTAGCCTTCTTGTAGTTAGTGAATCTCCTTCGACGCCGCTCACTGGCACGGGCGCGCACGATCAATAGCGGGAGGTGGTAGGAGGGACGAACTGCAATCAGTGCCTCATGGTCGCTGGACATGGAGCTGGATGATCCGGCCAGTCTTCTAGCACGATTTCGTACGACGTAGCCGTATTTGGAAGAAGAGATGAACGGTTGTTTTATCTGCCGTTCGTGAATGTTAGACAAATGACATCAAACTTTGCGTACAACCGGTGTTTTTATAATCTACTAGACAGCGTACAAGTTTTAGGGAAATGATTAGAGAAACTCTTGTCAAGCTTTAGTCCAGAAGGACCGGTGCGTTTGATTCAGAATGTTCGTTACTTTGAGTAATTAAAATTAAGACTTTCACTCTTGATAGTGCTTTTCATGTTTGTATGCGCCTATGATGTGATGCTGTAACCCAGCTGTAATAGTTTGGGGGGGAATCTTGCTCTACTACGCTTTTAGCAACCTTTCTTTATTTCGTAGTGTCTTTTGTAGTGTTTTTCTTCTGAATGTTTGATTTGATCTCAGGATGATTTCAGAGCACTGATGTGCGTTTCGACTTTGCCCCGCTGAATTTTTTTCGCGTGTGCATCTGTACCAAGAAGAGAAGCCAAAACACCTCTGCTCTGGATTTGTAAGACTGTGCTCTTCTGTCCAACGACGTGTGTACCTGAGGACGGCTTCCAGGATCGTCTGACTGTAGACTGTAGAGCGACGCTCGGCGGATGTGTGCTTTTGACCTCGTGTTTGACCAGTACAAAGATGTGGTAGCGATGTAGGGGTGTTGCGAGTTGAAAGTGCTTTCATTAGATAGGACCGCCCTGCATTCTGCTGTTCAATGATCATTCCAGCCTATTAATCATGACAGCTGCCGAACGGTTGTGTGGCTCCCGCCCTTTGAATGGGCATCGGGTGTGTTTTGTGCGTACTTTTTAAAGGCGTCGTGTAACCCAACAGACCGTAGACTGTGGAAGTGCATATACCGATTCAAACTTTCAATCAGGATTAGGTCGCTGTAGGCCGTGCTTTTGAGAGCTTTGTCACCGCGTGCCCCCTCCACAGCTGCTCGTGCAGACGACCTCTTCAATACAAGGCCATCAGGGTATCCGCACAGCGTCTGTTGTAAATTCAATTGATGAGCTTACATTTCACTTCAATTGATCATTTGGGCTGGACGGGCTTTCAGGATCGTGTGTTGACTGCTATCTGGCATGCCATGAAAGGCGGTTAGAATGGTGGCCAAGGCCAGGGGTTCGGGACGCTGCGGTATTCCCAGACTCGAACCACACAAATGTAGCCGGGCGGTGTTTCACGACCACGCTGCCAAGTGCCAGCCACTGCCAGCGCATTTCGCGAGCTGACGTCATACTTGTGGTAGTGTTTGAGCTATGGGCTTGCTGATGTTTCTATGGAAGCCCAAATTGCCACGTGTGCTGGCAGCGTCGGTGAAACACCGGTTGGGCGGGTACGGGGAGTCTGGCTCCGGTTGCTCGCTCCGGCTGAACCCAGCTGAACCGCAAGGACAGCTAATTTGGTATGAGAACTGGCTCCGAAAATATATCTTCTCTCCGACCCGTTACAACGCGAGCGTGCGTGGGCTTAAAATTTTGTGAAAAATGTGGATAGTCATCATAGGCGGCGGAACGGGGAGGGCACCGCGGCACCGTGCCCCCTTTAATTTTGGCATTTTAACATTAGCCCTATGGGCGTTGCATGGAAAGAATGGGACCAAAAGTCGGCAGTGCCCCCTCTTAACCCTATTCCTGGCGGGGGGGGCCTCAGGAGCCCCCCCCTGAGGTTTTTTGGTTATTTCTCCCAAACGCGTTGAGCTAGGAAGCTCACATTTTCTGACTTTTCCTAAAAGGCTTCTACGCAACATGTCTGAAAATTTTGAGTTGATCTGACCTCAGGTCAGGTCACCAGAGGCGGTTTGGTGACCCTACCTCAGAAAAGTTTGCAATCACGCCAGAGCTAGAGTTTTTGACCGATCAATTTCTTCTCTTCAGGGTTTAGTTAGGGTACCAGTATGTGCAATTTGTATATCTCGGAATTTTGATATCGGTGACCTAAGGTCAGGTCAATTTCGCGACCTCCCCATTATAAGTCAATGGGGGAAAAATCAACTCCCTGTTTTTACCACTAAAACGGGTCGAAATGGCCCCATATACCATACATGACTTCACATACGATCAACCTTCACTACCTTGAGGTCTGTTTTGCTGTTGGGCAGCTGTGAGGTCATGTGACGTCATCAAAGATCACCAAAGGTTTTTGGCCAATAACTCCGTACAGGAACAAGATACAGACGCGTGGATGGTCTCATTGTGTTCAGCTCGTCAAGACGCATCGAATGATATACATGATGACCTCGAGGTCACGTGACCTGAGGTCAACCTTTGACCTTGACCTTTCGAGGTCAACATATATATCATTTGATGCGGATTGACGAGAGGATCACGATGATGCCCTTAGTTTGTTCCTATCTTGACTAATTCGAAAGTTATTCGAGAAAAACTCTCCATATCTAGCGCCGCCATTTTGACTTTTTCGACCCCTGTGACGTCATCTTTGACCTGACCTGAAAATGACCTTAGTAAAAATTGTAGATCTTGGCCGTGCGTATCCGATGCCGTTTACCGCTTGTCGCTATCTTGCTTCGTTCTCGAGATCTCAGGGGGGGGGGCCGAATCGGCCCCCCCCGCCAGTTTCTTGTCCCGGCGGAGCCCGCCAGGAATAGGGTTAATTGAAGGTGTTCCGCCGCTACTGATAGTCATCTTCTACTTAGGAATTGCTGCCTGCGACACGCAACGCGTAATGCGAAGTGTGTGGTTTTGAGTGATTTGGGGTGGGGTGTCGTCGGCATTCAACACCTAAATTTGCGCATGATAGCGGTCTTGTTCTTGTTAAATGTCGCAAATATGTTTTTTTTTTTTTTGCACAGTTTATTCATCAGCCATGCAGGACGGACTTTATCGATCTAATTACACGAGTTATTCGATTTATAGTCACCTTATTATAGGTACTAACAATTTAGCGCCGTCATTTCTATCTAACTTTCACCAGTTTGGGAACAAAATACTGAACAAAAAATAGATAAATACCTTGACGTCATAGATTATTGTAGTCTCGGCTAGCAGTTATGGAATGACGCACAGGGAAACATCCAATCAAATGTCTAAGTCTTTCGTTTTCATGACGTCATTTTAATGTTCATACTTTGAATTGCTACTTTCTAGCACAACCCAGCCATTTTTGCCGCGGAAACGCCTACTGCAGTTTCATTGTTCTGTTGCAATTGCAATGCGTTGCTTGAATGAAACAATTTGGAGATAGGGCGCCGTCGGTCGATTCATTTTTCAAGTTGGGTCAGAGGCTGTCTTTGTGAAAGTTTGTCTTTCTGCCAGTGGGCTAGTGAGGGGGTGTATCACACGGTTTGCAATTTTTGGGGAGGTTGAGGTGCTGTCAGTTGTTGATTTTGTTGAAAATGCCTCCAGTAGAAAAGGAGAAAACGAGGGTGAGTCAGAGTTGCTGAGCCTTAGCACCTTGACCTATGTGGGACCTGCATTTTTGCAACTATTCGTCCAATTATCTCGCATTGAAGTTTCTTGTTTTATCATCAGTCCAGTTTCAGCCCTGAGGGCCTGCACAAACAGATCAAGTAGGTCAGTTGGGCAAACTAGACTTTTGGAATCAAAAAATGGAGGCATCAATAATTTGATTCTGGTGGGAGGAGCCATGACCAAATATGGGCATGGAATCAATTTTTTGATTCATTTGGGTACACTTTTGACTTCAAATGTATCGTTACGGTTGAAAAAAGGCCCATGACGGTGAGATTTTTCTTTAAAAAAGGTAGAAAAATGTGGTAGGTTTCCAAAAAGTGTTACCTCAAAACTAAGAAATTGTCCCTTTGGCCTTGTGAATGGGAAAAAGACAGAGCCACTGTCCATCACGTAAAAGCTGTTTTGAGGAAATCACACTGTACGTTATTTTTGTATCATGAATCGCATACTAAACAATCAGTATTTGTGTACAATGGCAAAATGAAATTTTAAACCCCTAATTATCATTGTTGTAGTGCTTTTATATTTATTATATGGTTTTTACCTGTTGCTTCAGTTTTTGTATTTTTGACATTTAAAAATTGTGAATTGTTATCAAATGTAGTGAAGGTTAAGTACAACAATGCTATAGGTATCTGTTGTGGTGCTGAGGATACCATTAAATGAGAATAATAGGAAGATAAATGATGTATTCCTGCAAGTCATTGTTACCTATCTCTTAACATTACCTGTGAATCAAAATAATGATTAGCCAGCTGATGGGGAATCAATATTATGATTATATGTTTAAAGTGAATCAATTCCTTGATTGCCTTTCACTACCTATAGAATTCAAATTGTTATGATAGGAGCAATATTATTTTACTTAGGAGATAGTTCCAGCATTTCTGTTCAAGATCAGGCATGCTCCTTCTTGAAACACTCTCTTACTTTTATGTGATTGGTAAGTTAGAAATGGTCTGCATTTATGCCCAAATATGGTCATAAGGAATCAATCTTTTGATGCCTCCATATTTTGATTCCAAAGGTCTAGTTTGCCCAACTGAGGTGGTATATTTGATGTTGCGGGTGACCTACCCACAGAAATATTTGAATAACGCACATGTTCTTCTGTACTTCAATTGGCTGATGAAGTGAGGTAGAAGTTGAGCAGGATGAATGTTATCTAGATGCAAGATTTGGGCTTAGATAAGGGTTCAGGTCTGTTTCAAAATGTTTTTTAATGTAGTTAGTTGACATGGCAATAATGCCACACTTATTGTGACATGGTGGTGAAAATGACCACCAATGGGCAGGTGATTTCAATTTTGGCAAAAATGCCCCTGGATCTCCCAGTGAAAGGAAGGGAATTTTTAGGAAAGCAGCATGCTTACCTACTTTCCCGAGAAACAGGGTCTAGGGAAGGGCTTAAGGGATTCAGATTAAAAATGTATTGTCAGTTGGTCCAAGAGAAAAATGATAACACAATTAAACAATGTGTGACTTTCCCCACAGATGGTGCTCAGTTTGGTTGTCATGCTTTGTGAAATGGCTTGGTTTAACATCAGAGACACAACAGCTATTCAAATTCAAGCCTAGATGATTTAAAAAACATGCAGTTATTGCATGCAGTAATAAGTATATTTCTTGGACTTGCTGGAACTTGCAGCTTGAACTTTTTTACTTGACTAAACTAGAAGATTTCATTGACTGTTTTGAAACCAGGATGCTGTAGGATGTTATGCTGATAAATTTTCATCACATGAACACTGAACAGTATGTATTTTCTGTTTTGCAGGCTGTTGGAGGGAACCAGGTTAGGTCTCTGGATTTGTCTGGACATGTTGGCTTCGACTCCTTGCCTGACCAGCTGGTGACAAAGTCTGTGCAGAATGGGTTCACATTCAACATTATGT